ATGAACATACATTTTATTCATTGTCACATTTTTTTTCTCTGTAAGCTACCGTAAGATCTTGTATGTATTTCCCTGTGCTATACAGTATAATCTTGTTTATCTATTCTACAGTTTTGAAATCCCAGTCTTACTTGGAGTTCTGAGTTTGAAGAACTAAACGATCTATTTTACTGTTTTTATTCTGTTTAGGATTGGCATATCTGAGTGTCATACTGAGGTCAACAGAAACTTTTCTCCTTGGTATTTGTCATTTATGTGGTATATTTGTTGATTAGTCTTAAGGTTTTCCTTTTGAATATTCATATTTCTTTAAATTTTTAGGTAACAAGTGGAAAATCTCTACAAATGACATTGCAGGGGAACATCTGTTGTGTATTGTTTAATGGTATCCAACATTCAGCTTTGCCAGTGAGATGTCAGGTTGCCGTGGCATCGCTACATGGTGTCTGTGATGTTTGTTTACAAAACACTGAGCTCCAGAGCAATTCCTGTTACACTGGAGGCAGTTCAGACAGTTTTGTCTTGTTTGAGGTCTGTAGCATTAACGTTTTTAATTTCCTGTGATACTTACTGATAGAAAATGCTAGTGGAAGGTAACGTGGAGAAAGGCCGTAAGTCCCTGCAGCTAATTCAGTGAAGCAGAACATTGGATCTGGGTTTTGAATTAAGTGTGAGGTTGACTTGGAAAAAAATTAAACCTTTTATTTTGAGATAATTGGAGATAATTGGAGATTCACATGCAGTTGTAAGAAATAGTAGAGAGAGACACTGGATATTCTTCATCCAGTTTCCCCCAGTGGCGACATCTTGGAGAACTGTGGTGTAAGGTTACGACCCACGTGCTTACAGTGAGACAGTTAATGAACAGACCAGTTTCATCACCACCACAAGTATCCACCTTATTACCCTTACATCCACATCCACTTTCCTCTATTACCTGCCCCTCCCTCCAAACCCCGCTAATCTGTTCTCCATTTCTGTACTGCTGTCACTTTGAGAATGTATGAATGCAATTGTATGGTGTATATGTAGCCTTTTGGAGTTGGCTTTTTTCATTTAACATGATTCTCTGACTGTTAATGCAGGTTGTTGCCTGTGTCACCAGTTTGTTCCTCTTTATTGCGTAATAGTGATTCCACAGTATGGTTGTACCACAGTTGATTTACCCATTGGTCTGTTGAAAGACACCTGGGTCATTTCCAGTTTTGACACTTATGAATAAAGCTGCGATAAACATTGAGGTACAGGTGTTTGGATGGAAGACTTCATTTCTCTGGGATAAATGCTCATGGTGCAGGTGCTGGGTCCTGTGGTAGCTACACATTTAGTGATTGGTTGTTTGTTTGTTTGTGAGAAACTGCCAAACTCTGTCAGAGTGCCTGTGCCAGTTTACATCCCTACCAGCAATGGTGTGAGTGATCCAGTTTCTCTCCATCCTCAGCTGCAGTTGGTGTTGTCACTCTATTTTATTTTTGCCATTCTGATAGGTGTGTAGTGATACCGCATTATGGTTTTAATTTGCATTTCCCTAATTGTTGCTGATGATGAACATCTTTTTACGTGCTTATTTGACAGCTGTATATCCTCTTTGGTTCAATGTCTCTGTGCTTTTTGTGTCAAATCTACTCTTTTTCTAGGTCTTGAAGACTTTATCCTATTTTTTCTTTTTCTAGTTTCATGGTTTGCATTTAAGTTCATGGTCCATTTTGAGTTCATCTTTTGTATAAATTGTTAGACTTAGGTTGACTTTTTCTTTTTCCTGCAGAGGGCCAGTTGCTCCACCAACATTTGTTGAAAAGATTGACTTTCCTCCAATGTATTGCCTTTGCATCTTTGTCAAAAAAATCTATGGGCCATAGTTGTGTGGAGCTAGGTCCGGGTTCTCTGTTCTGTTCCACTGACCTGAGTGTCTCTCTGACAGTGTCACACAGTCTTGAATATAGTAGCTGTATAAAAAGTCTTGAAACCAGGTAGAACGATTTCAACCACTGCATTCTTCATTTTCAGAATTGTTTTGGCCATTCTAAAACTTCTGCTTTTCAGTGGACATTTTAGAATAACCTTGTTGATGTCTACAAAAAATTTTTGCTAGAATTTTGATAGGAATTGCAATAAACCAGGCTGTCAGTTAGGGGGAAATTGACATGTTTACTATGAGTCTTACTGTCTATAAGCGTAGTATGTCTCTTTTTTGTATTCATTTATGAGATGACCAGTCAGGAGCAGCCACAAGAGGAGACAGAGGAGAAAAAATAAGTTTATTATACGTATAGGTCCTAGAGACAGGCGTGGCACACAGGGCCATGTGGAAAAACACCAAGGTGATCAGGAGGCAGGAGACTTGAGCAATGGTGAGTGCTTAGGGCATGGCCTTGATTGGGGTTTCCATGGGAAAGGCAGGGCAGGGTTAACAGTTCAGGGTTGGCTAGTCTGAATAACTGCAGCAGGCTTTGGGTTATAGGGATAGTCTCTTGGTTGCCTGGTGCCTGGGTCCTGGAATGATGAAGGCAGAAGAACATTGCCTCCAGGGTGTAAGGGCCAGGTAGAGGAGTACGGCTCTGGGCTGGCTAGCGTGCATATTAAAGACATACTCTCTGGCCCCTTCCTGTCTCTGAGAATTGGCTGGCCCCAGGAAGGTTGTGCTCTCCCCAGCCAGAAAGATTTAGATGTCAAAACATCATAATACACAGAATACAAAATACACATGCACACATGTAAAAAGTGCATCCCTTCATTTATTCAGATCTTCTTTGATTTTTTTTAAAAGTTGCTTTTATTTATATATAATACAATTACATGTAACTTACCATGGTCTGCTGGTGTCATCATTTTATTAGTTCAAGTATGGAAAACTTGCCTCCCTTTTGAACCATTTAACCTCCCTCGTTTTTATACAGTTGTCTTAAATATACACTCTAAATACATTTAGAACTAAATTGAGCATTTTTATAGTAATTGCTTCAACCATCAAACATAATTTAGAAAGCTTAATAGGAGAAGGAAGGCCTTTGTCTTTAACTGTATTTTTGCCTATCATGTTCTTGCTTCCTCCCTGATATTCCAAGGTTACTTCTTTTATCACTTCCTTTCTCTTTAGAATACTTCCTTTATCCTTTTATGGTAGGTGTGCTGGTGACAAATTGCTGTTTTTGTAAGCAAGAAAATGGCTGGACATTGTTAACTTCAGAAGGTTCAATGTGATACTAGTGGATGATCAGTAAAGATTGAAGAAAAGGAAGACTGTATGTAGAAGTGACTTGCAAGGGCTAATGTGATGGACACGAAGTCCCTTTCCCTTCCCAATCACTTCGTATAGGATTCACTGTAAGGCAAGGGGAGTTACCTAATGTGGTGTACCCATACAGGGGAATACCACTCAGCAATAAAAAGAATTAGCTGTATATAAATATAACAGCAGGTACCTAATACGGTGTACCCACACAGGGGAATACTACTCAGCAATTAAAAAGGTTGAACTGTATATAAATACAGCAGCATGGATGAATCTCAAATGCATTATGCTAAGTGAAAGGGGCCAGACAGATAAGAACACATAGTATATGATCCCACTTATATAAACTCTAGAAAATGCAAACCAATGATGGAAAGTAAGTCCATGGGAAGAGGGAAAAGCAGTGGGTTGGAGGGATCACTAAGGGAACCAGAGGAAACATCTTGATGGTGGTAGTGATTTCACAGATGTGTGCATTATGTCAAAGGTGTCTAATTGTACCCTTTAAATTTATGTGGCTTATTGTAGGTCAGTTATAACTCAGTAAAGCTATTTAAAGAAACACCACATCAGCAAGTGTTTCTGCTGCACGTGACTACGTGTGGCCCCCTGACATGCAGCTCCAGGTTGTGCACGCTCTTGTTTACAGCAGACCAGTGATGACGTGCTGGTGTGTTATAGCATTGTCAGATTGCTCTGAAAGTTTTTCAGTGCTTATTTTGTTTTTAAACTTCTAAATTAATTTTTAAAAAGGGGTATGATGGACATAATAACATAGTATTAGTTTTAGGTGTACAACGTAATGTTTTGATACAAGTTCAAAAACAAAGGTACTAGGGAAGGCATAGCTCAGAGGTCAGAGTGCGTGCTTAGCATGCATGGGGGTCTGGGTTCAATCCCCAGTACCTCTGTTAAAAAATAAGTAAATAAATGAACCTAATACCTGCCCTCCCCACCAAATAAAAACTTGTATCTTGTCGACAGTAAGAAATAGTCTTGTTGTGCACCACACTTTGAGTCACACTGTTTCAGAGCAGTGGTTCCCCGTTACTTTATATATTATACATTTTTTCTCAGGATGGAGCCATTTTGTGTGTATCAATCTGAAACCATTCAACCCATTTCATGGTCACTCTATGATTCGATTAACCTGTGTCTTGGTGTATGAATTCTGGCAATGAATGTGTGTGATTTTTCTCAGCATGACTCCTAGGAAATTAACAAGATCAAATAAAATACGCTGCAGAGTTTCAAAGCGGTTTATATCAAAACTTTGGTATAATATTGCCACTCTCACATTTTTCAAAGAATCATTTAAAAGTAATGCAGTGTAAGACTTTTTTTCAAACTGAGGTGCACTGGGGTGTCCTAGGGCTCTGGCATGGGAATATCTGTGTTCAGATGCTGGCTTCCAAGTGGACTAGATGGTGTGGGGCAAGTTACTGTTACTCTCAGCCTCAGTGTTCTGCCTTTAAAGGTAGAGCAACAGTTGCCTCACAGAAGATTGGAGATACATTGACAGTGGTTGGTAACTGACAAGTGCTATATATAAGTATGTTTATTTCACTGGATATATTTGTATCTTCATCTGGGAGAGTTACTGTTTTTTTCCTTCAGGAAAAAGGCGCATGTATTGAATATAATTTGGAAACTAGTTCTTAAAAATGGAAGGTGAAGTTTGTAGAGGCTTACATATTTCCCTTTTACATACAGGTTAAAGAACTGAGAGCTATACATGAAATAATACACTTTTTTTTTCTCTTTTCAGGCAATTACTCTCTTAACTGAATTAATTAGGGAGAACTTCAGGAACAGCAAATTAAAACAGTGCCTTTTACCAACCCTAGGGGAGCTGATCTACCTTGTAGCCACCCAGGTGAGACAGTCTGGTTAACGCTTGCTCTTTGGTGTGTTCTGACATATGCTGGCTGACAAGTGTTAATATCCTGCAAAAGTTTTTTGACTTTGCCCCTTCGAGCGTACCTAAAGAACTTAGGAGAGATTTTACCTATGGAGGAGAGAGGCTCTCAGTGTCTTCCTCTTTTTCTCTCTGTCCCTGTCTGTGTGCTCCCTCTCCTACTGCCTCTTTACCTTGAAACAAGTAGGAGATTCTCAGGCTGTATTTTAAACCCAACGGACCAAAGTCCCCAGAAGTACTCCCTAGGTTGCTTTGACTCCTTCAGGCAAGAGGATGCCATTGGTTCTCCCACTATAAAAGCTCCATTACCATTTGAAACACTGTATGCAAATAGAACTCTTAACAGGGCCATGAGACTGCAGAATTTGACTGACTTCTGAAGTTATAATATGGAAGTGCTATTGAATTCAACAAAGGAAAGCTTCATTAATGCAGTTTTGGGGGAACATATTGAGTAGATAAAGATAAATTATGAGTTACTCATTTCATGTGTTGCTTTGCGAGTTGTAAGTACCAATAAATTATAAGTTATTCAGAAAATTCTCCTTGTATTTCAGTTTTGGTTATAGAACTTGCTTAAATGTTATATAACCCAAATAGTTTTAGTATCTAAATTAAATTGATTTTCTAGATGATCATGATTTTAAGGCAGCTAACATAATTGTTATAAAACATTAATCTTTAAAATCATTTAGCTCGCTCCATAATCAGTATTGATAGCCAGTACAAAAAGTCTCTCCTCATTTCTTTTCATAAATATCTTGACTATTCCTGGTCTTTTGCACGTTGGAGTATATTTAGAATCAGCTTGTCTAGATCTGCAAATCATCTTTTAAAAACTGCATTACAAGATTCAGAGTCTTAAGCCTAAAATTAGAGACCCTAACCTTGATCACTTAGCAAACTGATGACCCTGAATGAGCCACTTGGCCTCTCTGACCTCATGACCTCATGAATTCTTCCTCAGCAAGCTTGGTAAAGTTAGTATCTAACCCCAAGCTTCCAGGTTTTTTATAAGAACCAAATCCAAAAAATTTGTGAGAAAATATTGAGTGAATCATATATTTTACTTTCAAATATGACATTATCATGAATATTCAGATTTTTTCCCTTTACATATTAACATAGCATAGTAATTATTACAAGCAAAAGATGGTGCGTAAAATGCATGTAAGTTGTAAACCACTAGGTTATAGTATATGAACACTCAGGTACACACTACTCAGTTCAAGAACCAGAGGTTACCAAGAACTTAGAGCTACCGATAGGTCATCTCCATCACATCACTTCTCAGATGAAGCCACTTAAATTTTGTGTTTATCATTCCGTTGCTTATAAAAAGTTTCACCATGTTTTAACATAATTAGTATATTGTTTCCTTTTCCTTTTTTTTTTAAGCTTTATAAAAGTATCACACTGAAAAAACAAAAACAAAAACCAAAAAACAAAAACAAAGCAAAATACTACCACCAAGAAAACCCCTGCATTGATGATGCAGCTCAATTTGGGAACTACTGGTATCTTTATGACTTTGAGTCTCCCATTGCCTGTCTGGATTGTACTGAATCTGTATATCTATTGGGACATTATTAGAACGTTAATGGTATTTTGTCCTTTAATACATAACAAATGGTGTTTCCATACATTTATGTTAAAAATATTTTTATTAAAGTTATTTCACTCAGAGCTTTTGTACATTTAGCCTTGGTTGAATTTATTCTCAGATAGTTTTTACACTTTGAAGAGGTGACACACTGAACCTAGATAACGTGGAAGTGTAGAAAGGTACGCAGGGAAGAGTCTCTTTCACATTTTTGTCCCCCATCTGTGTGGTTTCCTGAATAAATAACCATTACAACTACTTGCTGACTTACATTTACAGAGTTGCTTTTGCACACATGAGCAAGTAGAAATGTAGATTCTTGTTTGTCTCGTTTTTAACAAGTAGAACAACTGTTTTCACTTAATAGTTACACAGCATTAAGAATAGCGTATGGAGAGACAGACAGTGGAGCTATTTATTAATAATTAATACGATGTCTTTCTTAATTAGTACTTGGAGCTCCCTCCTTCCCTGTTGCACTGGAGCATTCTCTCGTGTGCTCAGTTTTGTGAGAGGTGGTTTTCCTTGCAGTTCTTTGCGGGGTGGGGCTGGAGCATCGACACAGGCTTGGCTGTGGGCCCCGAAGGCCTTGCTCGCAAAGCTCACGTTTACCAAGTTCTGCAGGCCCTCAGAATCAAAGCAGGCTTCAGTGCTCAGTTTATTCCTTCCTGCTGGCAGCTAACTTTTGGCTTGATTGTTCTTTGTTTTCTTTTCAGATATCTGAGGCATTTTAAGGATGGTAGAATAAAACTAGTTGTTTTTACTAGAAGAGTGGTCAGGTACCTAGTCTGACATCTTATCAGGGAGGGGCATCTAGTCCATTTCTGTTTGTGCGTGTGTCCCCTATTTTTTTTTACCTTTTTCCCCAGCACGCGCGCGAGCCACACACACACACACACACACACACACACACACACACCTGTGAAACCATCAACACAATCAGGGTAATGAAAATATCACCTCCAAGAGTCTGCTCAGCGCCCTTTGTAATTCCTCCCTCCTGCACCTCTCTCTGCCCCAAGGCAGCCACCGATGATGCCTTCTGTTGTAGAAACCAGTTGGCCATTTTCTAGAATCTTGTATAAATGGAATAACACAGAATCAGATTTCTATTTGTTTTTAAAAATAGATCTAAAGAATCATTTCTCTTGGTATTTATTTTGATTGGGTAGAAGCTAGGCTAGTTTAATAAGGGATAATTCTGTGGCCATGACATTTGACCATATCTTACGATAGCAAACCAGAAGTTATGTCCCTGGATCCACTAAAATCCCTAATGTTTCATGAGATGAGGGTGTCTGTGGCATTGTCATTTGGAATATAGGTAAATGGTAAAATGTCAGGTCAGTGCTGACCCAGTGGGACTGGCCTGAAGTGACTGATAAATGTATACACCTATATATATATGTACCATGTGTAATGAAGAGACCAAAGCCCTGTCCTTCTGATCTTCTGGTAACACTCCAAGTTTATAAGTTTAAGAACAGAAGACCAGACTGTGAGTCTACAGAGGATATTATGAAGCAACACATTTATAGTTTTTTTTTTCCTTTTGTCAAGGATATGTACCACCGTGAGCCTAGGTATTATTTTTTGTCCAGCCCATAATTATCTCTCACCTGGCCTGTTGTAAGAACTCCCAGATGGTCTCCTTGATTCACTCTTGTGTCCCTTTAAGCTTTTCCCCAGACATCAGCCAGAGTGAGCCTGTTAAAACACGTGAGACACTCCAGCATCACTCCTCAGAGCCCTCACCTGCTGCTGTCTTCCTTGTGGTCACAGCCACATCCCTCTAGTTGCCTTCTGGGCCCTTGAGAGCTGCCTCCTCAGTACCCGTGTGACCTCCATCCACCTCACTGCCCTCTCAGTGGCTTACTCCTTCCAGCTGCTTAGGTTGTCCGCAGTTTCTCTCTGCTTGTGTGGGTCCCTCCAGAGAGCCTTCTCCTGGCCATGAGCAGTGTGAGATGGAGCCACCTTGTCTGCAGCCTTCCTCTAGCCCCCAACCCTGCTGTGCTTCCTTTATGCACTTATCACCATCTTGTTTATTTTGTTGAATTAAAAAAAAAACTTTGTCCCACTAAACACTATTAAGGCAGAACATTGACCTGTCGCTCTCAGCTACGTGGCTGTTGTTGAGAAGACTTCCTGGCACATAGTAGGTGCTTTTTGCCCCCACTCAACAACTGCAGTGAGTCCAGTGGGCTAGGAGGAAGGTGAGCCGGAGGCAGGGCTGCAGAGACTGGAGGGACAGGACCACGGAGGGATGCTTGGGTCTTGATCCTAACAGCTGGGGGAAGTCATTAAAGAGTTTTAAGAAGGGTAAGGATGTCACCTGATGTGAGTGCCCCAAAGATCACTCTGGTTTCAGTCTGGAGAATGGTACGAGAGAGTTCTGGGACCCTGACTGGGAGTAAGGGAAGCAGGAGCAAAATCAGAGACCTGGGTATTTCAGGAAAAGTCACAGGGCTGAATGTGTAGCTTAAGGTCCAAAAGAAAGGAACACAAAGATCTACTTTACTGAGTGACACGAAAGTCCCTGGTAACAAGAAGAGCTATTTTGTATATTTGTTTATTATTTTACGTGGGATGAGGGAGGCAGAAGTCAGACTGAGGTGCTTTGAGGATTTAGGGGGAGGTGAGGACACTGGGGAAGTCTGTGTAAAGGGAGAATGGTTATGGAAAAGAGCAGAGGGTGTGGGGCCATTTGGAAAGTGGGATACGACGGAAAGGATCCCACGGAGACAGGACCTTGAGGGTCTGGGAGCAGTGAGAGAGAGTCCATCGTGCAGTGACCCAGAAGAAAGCAGAGTGGGAATGGTGTCGTGAGCCCATGTGGAAGTGGTGGAGGAGCCGGTCTTTTTACAGCCACAGGGTAGAAGCAGCAGATGGCTTCACGTGTAGCTCAGTTAGCAGTTGCTTCCTCATGATCCCCCTGCTGTCTCTGTGAAGGAGGAAGGTAGGTGGAGTGATGGGAGGGTCACGGAGTTGAAATACTGTAGTCTGTTAGGAGAGGAAATTGGTTAGAGAGAAACAGGAGGCCTGGAGAGTGATGTGGAAAGTCCCTCAGCTTGCTGATCCTAAGTCATCCGTGGTGTTGGTGTCATCCCTCTAAGAGCCCAGCTGCCTGAGCCCCAGCCTGCCTGGAGAAGACAAGCTACCAGACCCTTTCAAGATTGAGTTTCCACAGACATGGGACAAGGGAGCTCCTAAGGGAGAGGTCGCTCAGGCCTTTGGCAGGAGTGATGAAGTGGTGGACCAGGGAATCTCAGTGGCTGCCAGGGAGGACAGGGAGTAGACTGGGGGAAAGAAAAGGAGTAGGGGTGGGGGAGACGGGATGCAGAGTCCAGTGATGTTAAGGAAAGGTTGTGGTGGGAGTTTTGAATAAATGAGCTGGAAGGGAAGCAAGTTGTGTTTGGAAGTTAAACTGGGGGCTGAATTAGTGATTTTTGAGCTGGGGCCACTCCGGCTGAAACTAAGAGTGTGAGCACATGTGGCTTTCTGTGATGAAGGGGATACTTTTAACGGGTCACGATTCTTAGTATGGGTAGAGAAGACTTGAATCTGTAAGGTGCCAGTTCTGACATTTGGACAATCTTAGAGAAATATTCTCTCTAAGCAGAGCCTGATTTCTTTTGCTTTAATGAGATTGTTCCCCCCCACCCCCCGTGGCCCCTGATTTATTCTGTGACTTTATTTGATGGGTTACAAGGAGTGGTGTTGTGGTTATCGCTATGTTGGTTCTTCTGTAAAAGCGTTTTTCCTCATGTCATTAAACTCCGTGCACCTGCTAATCATATTGGCTTATTTTTATTGAGATCACCGTCTTGCTCGGTGGCAAACTTTGACTTGTTCTGTGGATTAGCCTGAGATACTACCTAAAGCTGTGTATTCTATGCTTTCAAATCATTCCAGATAATGTCACACCTTTTAGGTGGGAGTATCTGTATCATCACCTACAATTATCAATAGAGTGGTTTCTCTATCTACCGGATCATATTGTCATTCCTTAGTTCTTTCTATCTTCTGATGAGGGGATCTTATCAACATAATGAGAAATAGAAGAAATACCTTGTATGTGCAGTGCAGCGAAGACCCTTAATCAGGTCATCATTGTCAGGAAGTAAGTAGTACTTTAAATAGAATATTAACAAGTTTTAGGTCGCCTGTGTATTTGAAACTGCCTTTGTCTTGAACGGGTTAATATCTTTTGTGCTGTTAGCTTCACTGCCTTTCCTTCCACTTCGTTTTAGGAAGAGAAAAAAAAGAACCCCCGAGAATGCTGGGCTGTTCCCTTGGCTGCATACACGGTGCTAATGAGGTGCCTTCGGGAAGGGGTAAGGCTCCTTTGTTGTCCTCTGTAGACGCTGGCAATTGTAATAACCCTTCAGGCGCTGTGTGGGGATTGTAGCCTGCAGCGGTGCAGGAGCCTGTCAACCAAGCAGTTCTCCTGAATTTAAATAATCCCGACAAGCCACTGTGAGCAGGTGACCAGCAGTGGAGCAAGTGTGAAAATGAACGCACTCTCTCATTCACTATGTGAGTGTCTTGCCTTCTAAATGGTGATAGCAAATATAACCAACAAAAGTAGCTCCTAATGACATATATTTAATTCTCCCCCCTCTTTTAACGTTATCGATAGACTAGTTTAATATGCAGGGTGTATGCAGAGAATTTTCTGTGAGGTTGCCATTTTGTGGTTCCAAATCGGGGAAGCTGCCAATAGTATCCATTGATTTTAATATTAAGTAGTATTTATTATGTGATATGAGTTTTCAATTTATTCACATCCCTTCTTGAGCTATTGTTAATGGTTGAAAACCAGCCAGCTGGCCAACCAGCCAGCCCGTGTCTGTAGCTCCTGTGTGCAACTACATAGAGGATTTATTAACTTGACCTAAAAGGTTGGCATTTTCTCTTTGCTTGAAACCTTGACATTGTTTCACCCACGGCAAAGCCATAGGCTAACAATACTCCTTAAGGAATGAAAAAAAAATATGTCAAAATAAACATCTTCCTTTTGAGTTCTTTACTTCCTGCGGTATATGGTGATGGGATAGTGTTCCAAGCATAGAAAATCTCTGCACGGTTTTCCCCAAGTGATCCAGGAAGTTTGAACGCTTCCCAGCCTGTGGGGCTGAATGTATAGTCAGTTGTCATTGTGGGATACGAGTGAAGCAGGGAAGTGTACTTTATCAACAGTGTGAGAATTAAGTTATTTTTATCTGTAGTCAAAAGACATGCTTGGCTTTATCATTCAAGGCCTCAAGCTAGGCATAGCTGGGGGCTTGCAGGCGAAGAAGGTGAAATTTCTGTTCATGCACGGATCTCACTATTGTGGAAGATAAGATAAAAACATAAAGTGGAATATGTTAAGTACCTAGATGCAAAAAAAACAAAATACAGGCACTCTAAGGAGAAAGGAGTCTTCTGCGAATTTATTTAACAATGTAAAAGGAAAATGTAAAACTTTGTATCTTTGATTTTTAGAACTTGGAGGAATGCCTAGTAAAAGATGATTAATTCTAATCCACGAGACTGTATCTTTTGTTAAATACCTCCTCCCCATCCCCTCCTGTGTTTTTCATTGAGTGCATGATATGAAGAATGTTTGATATCCATGTGTATTGTTAATAAATTATTATTGTTAATAATTGTAAAATAATGATACAGCTAATGAGGTGGTTAATAGTAACAGGTGTACACACTTGCCTTTTATTGTCTTGTTAATATGTTACAAGTCTTGTGTATTTTTCATTGAGAGGGGAAAGTCCAGAACTCTTCTAACTTATGAAAATTTTATAGTAAATATTTGAAACATAGTTATTTACATACTTTGACAGGATGTATACTAACATTGTCCGTATAAAGCAGATAAATTCAGGGGTGATTATTCTCCCTAAAAAAGATTTCTATACTTAAAAAATAATTTGATTGTAGCAGTTCTTCAGCCTATTTCTCTAATGTATTCAGGACATAGTTGAAGGTAGAAGAATTTTTGAGCTACTTACCATCAATGATTAAAAAAATTTTTTTCCTATGTAGAAAACTTTTCCCAACCCCTACTGATATTTCTGAATGTAAGTTCTTGTGAAATATACCTCATATATAGAAGAGGATATGAAATACATGACTATGGTTAAAAGCTTGTACTCTGACACATTTACTTGCTTAAAAAAAAAGGGGGGTGGGTGGTAGCTTAGAGAATTCTTCCCTTTCCCTCTTAGATTGCAGCTTGTCCTTTCCTGTAGGAAGTAACCACTGTTCTGACTTAAGTGATTAAGTTTCCCATGTTTTTCTTTATAATGTTTCCCTTTTTGTGAAGATATTGCTAAATACTACACTAAGTGATTCTAAATGTTGAATTCTGTATAAATGGACTGTATAAATTCTTTTGAGACTTAATTCTTTTGCTTAGTTAGGTTCAGGTTGATACATGCTGACTAGGTAAATGGTAGCTCGTTTGTACCACTGAGTAGTATGTTGTTTGTATATGTCTCAATACGTGAACACACACAGGTGTGTTTCAGTTTATACTCCCACCAGCAGGGTAGCGGAGTACCCATAAATCCACATCTTCTTGAACATGTGCCATAATCAGGCTCTAAATTTTTGTCAGTCTCATGGGCGTTAAATGGTTTCTCATTGTAGTATAAATATACATTTTCTTGATTTCTTTTTCTTTTTCTTTAACTTTTTTTTATTGAGTTATAGTCATTTTACAATGTTGTGTCAAATTCCAGTGTAGAGCACAATTTTTCAGTTACACATGAACATACATATATTCATTGTCACATTTTTTTTTTCGCTATGAGCTACCACAAGATCTTGTATATATTTCCCTGTGCTATACAGTATAATCTTGTTTATCTATTCTACACTTTGAAATCCCAGTCTGTCCCTTCCCACCCCCTGGCAACCACAAGTTTGTAGTCTGTGTCTATGAGTCTGTTTCTGTTTTGTATTTATGTCCTTTTTTTTGTTTTTAGATTCCACATATGAATGATCTCATATGGTATTTTTCTTTCTCTTTCTGGCTTACTTCACTTCGAATGACATTCTCTAGGAGCATCCATGTTGCTGCAAATGGTTTTATATTGTTGGTTTTTATGGCTGAGCATTTTCCTGATTTCTAATAAGAATGGCCATCTCTTTCTATTTATCTTATTTTTTGGAGTTTCCTGTTTTGAAAATGACCATCAAGTCTTCAACCAGTTTTTTCTATTGCTTTGTAGGAATTCTGCACTACCCGCGACCCACCATTGCCAACCATATTGTTATAAAATGTTCCAAGTATTAGAAAAGGAAAGAAAACTGTAATAATCACCTTTATTTTCGTCACCTAGATTCAACAGTTGACATTTTGCCCTCTTTGCTTTGTTGTAATATATGTGTATATAATCCATATATGTGTATTTATTATTTGTTCATTCGTTTATTTTCTAAACTGTTTGAAAAATTGCAGATGTCATGGCATTCCACCCTTAGGAATTTTTTTAATGTATTCTGGATATTAATCTTTTGTTATTTATGTGCCTCCCAGATACCTTCTAATTTGTGGTTTGGCTTTTCCTTTTTTTTTTTAAACAGTGTCTCTTGGTAAGCAGAAGGTCTTAATTTTAATAGAAATTTATTAATCTATCCCTTTATGATTGGTGTTTTGTATTTTAATAAATGCGTCTTACTCCGACATCAAGATGGTCTATTACATGTGCTTCTAAAAGTTTTCCTATTTTTCCCTTTTCCATTTAGAACTTTAAACTATTTGTGATTGTTCTGTGTGTGTGGTAGTATATGTGGGTCCAGTTCTATTTTTGAAATAAATGTGATGAGTTATCCTTAATCACTTAAGGAAAAGTGCATCTTCTCCCCACTGCTCTGCAGTGTTACCTCTGTCATGTTGATGTGCATGTCTCTTCCTGGGCTCTGTTTAGTTCTCTTGGCCTATTACCTATTATCTGTGCTGTCTAAATTAATAGTCTTTATTTTTAATAATTTAAAAAATATCCAGGGAAGTTTTTCCCTACCAGTGTAATCTTATTTTCATGAGTTTCTTAGCTTTTTTGTTCGTTTTTACCTGCATATAATTTTTAGAGTCAACCTTTCAAGTTCACCTCTTGGGATGTTGATGGAGAGTACATATATCTATGAATAAATAGGAAGAGAATTGGTTGCTATTAGAGAAAAAGGAAGGCATATCCAACGAGAAGACTAAGAGATGGACGCATTTGGTTTAAAAAAAAAACAAACCTGGAATAAAATGATTGAAATTCCTTTGAATTCTTGACAATGTTTAGCTACTGTATTTAGTTCACTGCTTAAGTTAACTCTTACATGCAGTCCCCATTCTTTACAGGTAACATTTATGAAACATACGCTATGTACTGTCTGGATACAGGAGAGGCTAGGATGACTTAACATTGCCTTCTTTTCATTTATTTGGAAAGAGAAATTTTTTTAAATTCCTGGTTTAGTATGCCACTTATGGTTGTTTTGTAACTATATATACTTTTTTTTTTCTTGTGTAGTTACTAAGATATTTAAGGCTATTAACTTTCCTCTCAACCTAGTGTTAGCTATATCCCATTATTTTCATGTGTAGTGTTTCATTATTGTTATTTTATAGATAATCCCTAGTTTAAAATTTTTTCTTAGTCCAGGGTTGTTTATGAGACGGTTTAAACTTTTTCAGGTGGTTGAGATTTTATTACTTCTTTTTTCTTTTGTTAAAATAACAAAGTTGCGTTACCGTATAGTGAAGAATGTGGTCTGTTCTATTTCTCTTTTTTTTTTTAATGTGGTAAAATATACACAATATAAAATTTACTTTTTTAACCATTAAGTAAGCAGCTTGGTGGCATTAAGTACATTTACATTGTTGTGTTATTCCTGATTTTAAGTATATTGAGATGTTTGTTGCTTAATTTACTGACTTATTTTTTTTTTCCACCTTTAAAATTTAGTGCCTTGTTGAACGAGGCTGTTGATTCTGGGTTTTGCCCCTTCTACCTCTAATCTGTGCATTGAGAAGAAAGCAGTAGGGAAACTTCACTTTTTTTTTTAATTGACATGCAGTCTTCTAGAAGGTGCTTTTGGTTTTAGGTTATAAATTTTGTTCTTGTTCATTATGCATAGAAAAACCAGCTTTGCTGTGGAATATTCATATGTGTTCTATGATAAGCATTTTCTAGTCAAATGCACTGGGACACACTGGGTTAAAGGAGGTTGAATAGTTTCATTTGTTTGTGTTGATTACTTTTCAGAGCTTTTAATGATAAATCTACTTGGAGGCATATTGTATGACGTTTTCAAAGTGATCTGCCCGCAGACCTACCTT